TCCTTGGGGGTCTCTTCCAACTCTACGATTCTATGATTCTATGGCGGAAGGGGCTGGACTGGGTGGCCCATGAGGCCTCTTCCAACTCTATGATTCTATGGTGGAAGGGGCTGAGCTGGGGGTCCCTTGGGGGTCTCTTCCAACTCTATAATTCTATGGTGTAAATTCTTGGGCCCGGTGGCCCTTGGGGGTCTCTTCCAACTCTTTGATTCTATGGCGGAAGGGGCGGGACTGGGTGGCCCTTGGGTGTCAGTTCCAACTGTATGATTCTATTATGCCGTCATTCTTCAGGGATTAAGGGTGTGACCAGTGGTGCTGCACATCTTTGGGGTCCCCAATACATCTCCAAAAAATGCTAAGGTTTTGAAGCTTGGTGCAACTGTAATGCAGAAGCCTTGGGGCTGAATCTCATTCCTTGACCCAGATGGAGAAGACCTACAGAATCAATGGGGTGCTGTTCCCTTCAGCAGTAGATTAAGTGCCGTATTCTTGTTAAGACAAAGCACTGGGTTTAGTCGTTAAATGGGCGCAACCAGCGGAGCACATCTTCAGCCAGGCGCTGTGCGTCTACCGCGTGCAATTAATGTCTGGAGAGTGCCGTGTTTGTCTTTGAAGTTGCAGCCTGCTTCTCCCGGTGGATATTCAATATGCAGAGCAGCAAACGCTTCAAAACAAGCACGCTTATTTATGTTGGCTGAATATATTAGAGATGCGCTTTGTAGAAGAAGGGAGGCAGTCTGAAAGGAGGCGTTTCAAGTCTCCTTCTCTTCCAGGGAGGCACTAGAGGCTTTGTTACACCGTCCCGACATGTTGGGCTACAAGACCCATCACAATTGGGGTTGGTGGAGGATGGGGTTTGTTCTCCAGCACTGCTTGAAATCTCCAGGTTGGGACGGCAGCGTCGTAACGCCCTCTCACCTTCAGATCCTGCATGACAGCCTTGCAATGGAATTACTTACTTACTTAGGCAAGCCCTCGTAGCCCAAGGATAATGGTTCTCCAAGTGTGGTGTCCATAAGTGGCTGTGGAGTCCTATTCTTGATCCGCATGATCTCTTGCAGGGTTGGCTTCACGTGCCTTCCTCTTGGCACGTTTCTCCCTTTCACCCTTCATTCATGCTTCTTTGAATTCTGCAGCACTGCTGGTCACAGCTGACCTCCAGCTAGAGCCCACAAGGGCAATGGCTTTCCAGTTCTTGGTGTCTATGCCAGAGTTTTTAAGGTTGGCTTTGACCCCATATTTAAATCTCTTTTCCTGCCCACCAACCTTCAATTTTCCGTTGTTGAGTTAGGAGCAGAGCAGCTGCTTTGGGAGACGATGGCCGGCCATCCGGACAACATGGCCAGTTCAGCAGATTTGATGGCGGAGGATCATCGCTTCAATGCTGGTGGTCTTTGGTCTTCCGGCATGCTGACATTTGTCTGCATGTGTTCCCAAGAGATTTGCAGGATTTTCCGGAGGCAGCGCTGATGGAATCGTTCCAGGAGTTGCATGTGACATCTGTAGACAGTCCACGTCTCGCAGACGTATAGCAGGGTTGGGAGGACATAGAATCATAGAATCAAAGAGTTGGAAGAGACCTCATGGGCCATTCAGTCCAACCCCCTGCCAAGAAGCAGGAATATTGCTTGACGTTCCTTCCTCTTGGCACATTTCTCTCTTTCACCCTCCATTCATGCCTCTTCGAATTCTGCAGCACTGCTGGTCACAGCTGACCTCCAGTTAAAGCGCTAAAGGACCAGGGCTTCCCAGTTCTCAGCGTCTATGTCTCAAAGTTGGCTTTGAGTCCATCTTTGAATCTCTTTTCCTGTCCTCCAGCATTACATTTTCCATTCTCTTGCAGTCAGAACTGGGTTTTTGCCACTTCCATGTCTTCTAGTGCTTTTACTCTCTCTTTTCTATTTTTTGAGCTCTCTTATTTGCTGTATTTATATTCTTTTTTATATTATAATAATACTCTTAATTCATGTTACTATTAAGTTTGATGAATATGTTAAAAGTTTTGATTTAAAGTTTATTTTTATATGAACCTTGTTGTCTCTGCTAACAACAACAAAATCAAAGTAGTTCCTGATAATAATAATAATAATAATAATAATAATAATAATAATAATAATCCACTCAGTTCTTGTGGGTTTTTTTGGGCTATATGGCCATGTTCTAGAAGCATTTCTCCTGACGTTTCGCCTGCATCTAT